GCAACACTGGAAAACTGATAACAATGAATGAGGAGAAGGCTGAGGTACTGAACAACTTTTATGCCTCAGTCTTCACTGGTAGTCTCTCTCCTCTCCCCTTCCGAGTTGACGGACCACAAGATGGGGGATCAGGGGAGCAAAGTCCCTCCCACTGTAAGAGAAGATCAGGTTTGTGACCACCTGAGGAACCTGAACATACACAAGTCTATGGTACCTGATGAGATGCTTCCCAGAGACCTGAGGGAACTGGCTAATGTTGTTGCCAAGCCACCCTCCATGATATTTCAAAGGTTATGGCAGTCAGATGAAGTCCTTGGTGACTGGAAGAAGGGAAACATTGTTCTCATTTTTAAAAAGGGTGGAAAGGAGGACCCTGGGGACTGCCGACCTGTCAGCCTCACCTCTGTGCTTGGGAAGATCATGGAACAGATCCTCCTAGAAGCTCTACTAAGGCACATGGAGGACAGGGAGGTGATTTGAGACAGCCAGCATGGCTTCCCTAAGGGCAAGTCCTGCCTGACCAACCTAGTGGCCTCCCGTGATGGAGTGACTGCATCAGTGGGCAAGGGAAGAGCAACGGATGTCATCTATCTGGACTTCTGTAAGGCCTTTGACACCATCCCCCACAACATCCTTCTCTAAACTAGGGAGATACGGATTTCATGGATGGCCTGTTTGGTGGATAAGGAATTGGTTGGATGGTCGCTGCCAGAGGGTAATGGTCAACGACTCAATGTCCAAATGGACACTGGTGACAAGTGGTGTCCTTCAGGGGTCTGTACTGGGACCGGTACATCTGGACGCCATCCAGAGGGACCTGGACAAGGTGGAGTGGTGGGCCTGTGTGAACGTCAAGAGGTTCAACAATGCTGAGTGCCAGGTCCTGCATCTGGGTCGGGGCAACCCCTGATACCAATACAGGCTGGGGAGATGAAGGGATTGAGAGCAGCCCTGAGGAGAAGGTCTTGGGGGTACTGATAGAAGTAAAGTCTGACATGAGCCACCAATGTGTGCTCACAGTCTAGAAGGCCAGCTGTATCCTGTGTGGCCAGCAGGTCAAAGGACTACTAAAAAGGCTGAAAGAGTTGGGGCTGTGCAGCCTACAGAAGAGAAAGCTGTTGGAAGACCTTATTGCAGCCTTTCCGTACTTAAAGGAGGCTTATGAGAAAGATGGGGATAGACTTTTCAGCAGGGCCTGTTGTGACAGGACAAGGAGTAATAGCTTTAAACTAAGGGAGGGTACATTTAGACTGGGTATAAGGAAGAAGTTTTTTACAGCAAGGGTGGTGAAACACTGGAACAGGTTGCACAGAGAGGTAGTGGAGGCCCCATCCGTAGAAACATTCAGGGTCAAGTTGGACAGGGCTCTGAGCAACCTGATCTAGCTAAATATGTCCCTGCTCACTGTGGGGTGGGGGTGGGGGGGTGGCTAGATGCATCTAAAGGTCCAGTCCAACCCAAAGCATTCTGTGTTTCTGTGTGACCTAGAGCATGCTGTTTGGGTCACACCATAGGGTTCAGGTCGTCTTAGTCTTCCCTTGATTTGGCCTTGCTACTGAACTCATTGTTTTAGGCTACTTTGTCATATTTCCTGGATAAAGACTCTGTTAAGCCTTCACACTCGTGAGTCCTTGTGGCCTTAATGCGGAGGTTTTCAGCTCTGATTCGCAGACTCCCAGAGCTCTAACAGGTTGCTCCTGATTGCTTTTCACTCCTCTAGTCACTCAACTTGAAGCATGTTTTTTGTAATGTTTTTAGAACCCTGCTAATAGCTCTTGACTGTAGCTGGTACAAGAAGCATACAGCTCCAGACAGAATGATAAATACCTAGAAGCATTCCTCTGCCTTAGGCTCAGCATCACTTGTAAGTGTTCTTTTCGCCTTGATCTCGAAAGTGTCTAAGACAGCTCTTTCGGATTCAGCTTCTCCTCTAGATTATCAGTAATGTGGCAAAATCCAGGAAAAAATGGTAATTCTCTGTCCAAGGTCTGAGTACTAATCAGACAAT